ACATTGGGTATGGCGCCCCCTGGAGTTGTACTATATACAACCTACACAACTATATGCAGAGGCTCTGCCCGGGTAATAAAGCTTTCCTTGTCGCAGCCCCTCCCTCTCTCTCGTCTCTTCTCACGATGCTCTCTCTCATTCTGCACTCCAGCCACACTGGTCTTCTTCCATTCTCTTGTGTTTGCTGAGGTGGATGAAAGATGTCTGCAAGTTCTTGACAACTCCTGTTGAGAGATGAGGTCCATGTAGTCTCCTCTGGAATCCAGGTGGGCTTCATGACTACTTTGGCCAATAGAACACAGTAAAAATAATGCTGTGCTGTGCTGGATTCTTGCTTCAAGCCTTTAGAAAGTAGCAGCTTTGGAATGCTCTTTGGGAACACTCTCTCTGGGAGCCTTGAGCCACCCCGTAAGAAGTCTAACTGCTCTGACACTGCCGTGCTGGTGCAGCTGCACACAGGTCGACAGTCTCAGCTGAGCTCAGCCTTCCAGACATCCCCACCAAGATCCCAGATATGTGAGTGAGGCTATCTTGGACCCACCAGACCAGCTCACCTGCCAAGTGGAAACCACCCACTGACAGTCAACACCACATGGAGCAGAAGGTGCACGGCCAAGCACTGGCCACATTTCTGACTCACAAAATTGTGAGATTCATAAAATGGCAGTTGTTTTAAGCCACTGAGTTTTGGGATGGGTTGCTAAGCAGGAACTGATAACAGAAATCCTAGCAGTGCTCTCTCCTGCCGTGGACACTGGGGTTTACTGTTCCCTCTTTCTACACTGTCCTTCCTTCCCCTCTTCATCTCACTGGCGTCTGACTTTCTGCTCTCAGCCCACACACAACTCCCTCAGGACAACCTCCTAATAGGGCCCTCCTAGCACACGTCCCCTTTTTCATAGCATGTGTCAAACCTGCAATTTTGCATTTGTTTGTGTGATTGTTTGATGAATGATGGTCTCCTCTGCTAGACCATAAGCAGGGACCAGTGTCTGTTTCACTTACCATAATATTCCCGGCACCTGGCATGGCCCCTGGCACATGATATGCATCAATAAGTGTTTCATGAATGACTGAATGACTACATGGCAATGGGACCTTCTTCCTACACCCTGCTCGACAAATGGTTTCCACCTGTTTTCAGCAGAGCTATCACAGTAGCTACTGTGCACTCAAGGGGGAAGCCAAGTGGGTGGGGAGTCTGGATGCTGCCCACCTTTGTGGCAATAAGCAGCTCCCCTTTTATTTGCTTTATATTTTGGCATCCTTCATAGGATATATTTGGGGGAAAGTTTTCAGCTACTAAAAAAAATATGTTTGAAAATCACTACCCTACACCTTGCTCACTCCCATCTTTTCTTCCTTCTTCCTTCTGCACAGAAACGTCCTCAGAACTAATGCTGGGCAAGGGTTTAAAAATAGAAACCCCTCCCTTCCTCTCTCCCTCCATTTCCTTTCTTTCCCCCGCCCCCCATAATTTGTTGTAAAAAAGGAAACCATCTGGATGTGCTCCATTGAAAAGACACGCTCTTCCCGACTAAATAAAACGAGAGGCTGATGCACTCCCCAGCAGGTGCCTGAGCACCTATGAGTCACCGTGAGCATGGGGCTGGTGCCTGGGGCTGGTGCCTGGGCTCCTGGGCAGGATCATGCTCCCCTGCCCTCGGTGGGACTCGATTGTGCACACGTGCATGCACACACACACCACATGGCCACCTCATTCAGGTTTCCCAGCTGAAACCCAGAGGAAGGACCCACCTAGGGTGTGCCAATAGGGAGGGGACAGTAAGTCATGCTGTTCCCAGGAGTGAGGCCTGGAGTCTTGTTGCAGTCTGGTGTGCTTTGTCAGAAGCACAAGGGGCGTGTGTGTGTGTGTGTGTGTGTGTGTGTGTGTGTGTGTGTGTGTGTGTCCAATGGGAGAAAAGAACAGTGTCTTCAACACATGCTGTTGGGACAACTGGATGTACACATGCAAAAGAATGGGGTTGGACCCTTACCCAACACCATATACAAAAATTAACTCGAAATGGATCAATGACCTAAGTATAATAGCTAAAACCATAAAACCTGGAAAGAAACATAGAGGTAAATCTTCATAACCTTGAATTTGGCAATAGATTCTTAGATATGACACAAAAGCACAATCAACAAAAGAAGAAATAGGATCCAAGCAAGATGGCAGAATAGACGGTCTGCAGCGTCACTCTCTCCCACAAATCAACCAAATTTACAACTATAAAAATGTAACATCAGCCAAGCTGGGGCTGCTGGAGCTCAGGGGGAGAGGAGGAGAGACCTACAGAGTTCATGAAGGTGCGAGAAACTACGATGAGGGAAAGAAAAAGCTGCTCTGAGCATTTCAGGCCGCGGCTGCTTTAAGGCTCGAGCTGCTGAGCGCATGGAGCTTTAAGGCTGGAGCTGCTGAGCGCATGGAGCGGGAGCTGGCAGAAGCCGCAGCTGTGCCCTTCAGATGGAGTTACTTGGAGACAGCAGGGGAGAAGAGGGCCTTGGCAGCCCCCAAGACAGCAAGATCACTAATAGGGTTCCCGTGGACCCACGCAGGAGCAAGGAGCCAGATTAGCTGAGAAAAGGGAGCCAATAAGAGGCTGGTGAGTCATTGCAAGGGACCAGCGCATGGCCCATCCCATGGGAAGTGTTTGGAGCACGGGCGGTGGGGGAGACAGGCCCACCAGGAGAACACTGGGGCACAGCAATGACAGCTGATCTGCCCCCCAATCAGCACAGGACCACTCAGAGGAGACTGGTCGGGAATACAGAATTGCATGGGGTGCAGTTTGATGAAAAAACTCAGGCCCAGATCAGAGATTCTACAGAACACAGATCCACTGGGTCTCTGGAGAGCCAGAAGTACCTGTAAGGTCAACCATTAAACCCTGGGCTGCACAAAAAGCCTTTCTTAGGGAAACAGCAGCAAAGTAGCAATTTAAACAACCACACAGCTCAAGTACTGGTTCCCACAGGAAGTTTTGCCCTGTTAGAAGCAAAGGACAAAAGCAAAGAAATTAGTTCCAGACCAGGCACACCACCAGCATCTTGGGGCCTGCCTGGGAACCAGAGGCTCGGATATGGGGACCAGACCCCACTCCCACTTCCAGGCAAACTGTACCAGTGCCTTGGGGCCAGCCTGGGGACCTAAAGCATGGAGAAAGGGACTGGACCCCCCTCCCACGACCAGGCATACCATGCCAGCACCTTGGGGACCAACCAGGCACCCAGGGCACGGAGAAGGGGACCGAACCTCACTCCCACAACCAGGCACAACATGCCAGCAACTCAGAACCCACCCAAGGACCCAGGGCATGGAGAAGGGCACTGGACCACCCTCCCACAACCAGGCACACTGAGCCAGCGCCTTTGGGCCCACCCAGGGACCCAGGGCATGGAGAAGGGGACCGGACCACCCTCCCACAACCAGGCACACCAAGCCAGTGCCTTGGGCACCACCCATGGTCCCGGGGCATGGAGAAGGGGACTGGACCACCCTCCCACAACCAGGCACACCATGCCAGCACCTCAGAGCCCACCCAGGGACCCAGACCATGGAGAAGGGGACCGGACCTCTCTCCCACAACCAGGCACACCAAGTCAGTGCCTTGGGTCCCACCCAGTGACCCAAGGCATGGAGCCAGGAACCAGACCGTCCTCCCACAACAAGGCACACCATGACAGTACCTTGGGGCCCACCCAGGGACCCAAGGCAAGAAGAAGGGGACTGGACCTCTCTCCCACAACTATGGACACCGAGCCAGCACCTCGGGGCCCACCTGGCTCAGAGGCATGCAGAAGGGGACTGGCCCTCTCTCCCACAACCAGGTGCACCAAGCCAGTGCCTCAGGTCCTGCCCAGTGACCTGAGGTATGGAGCCAGGGACTGGACCCTCCTCCCACAGCAGGCACAAAATGCCAGCACCTAAGGGCCCACCTGGGTACCCGAGGCATGAAGAAGGGGACTGGACCCTCCTTCCACAACCAGGCATATGGCGCCAGTGCCTTGGGGCCTGCCCAGGGACCCAGGACATGGAGAAAGGGACTGGACCCCTCTCCCACAACTAGGCACATGGTGCCATCACCTTGGGGCCTGCCCAGGGACCCAGGACATGGAGAAAGGGACTGGACCCCTCTCCCACAACTAGGCACATGGTGCCATCACCTTGGGGCCTGCCCAGGGACCAGAGGCATGGAGAAGGGGACCAAACACACCCCACAACCAGGCATACCACCAGTGCCAAGGAGCAAACCAAAAACAGCACCTCCATGTGGGTGGCCCACCACAGCCAACACAATAAACATGGCTGCTGCAAAAGCGGCTAGACGCCATAACCACCATGCAGAGGGTTTGTCAACCACTGGAGTGCATTGACACAAGAAGAGTCACCAGCAGAGACAAAGAAGAGGATGTCTCTCTCCACAAAGCCCTTCCAGAGTGACAGAAGAAGCATCTGCTCTATGATAGTATTGGGGGACCCGATCACATCTCTCAGCATTGGACAGATCATCTAGGCAACAAATTAACAGAGTAACCATTACTCTTTTGGAAGGAGAGAAGGAGTCTGGGGCAATTAGAGGGGGGAGGGGGAGGGAATGGTGGAAGGGGAGAGATTGGACAAGGGGCATAAATAATAATTATGATTCGTAACAATATATATGCTAGTAATATTGATTTAATCAACATATCTCAATGTTCAACCCCCAAAATATGTATAATAGATTTTGATTCAATAAATAAAATAAATTTTTTAAAAAATAATAATAATAAAAAGATTTATCCTAATGAAAAGTTCCAATAATATTAAATGAGAAGTGGGAAAAATGGAAACAACTTAACTGCTCCATATTAAAAAGGACTGATCAAAAATTAAATTGGCTTAAGGGAATTCTCTTTGGAAAATACATTCTCAATGAGAGCTTATCAATGCAGATATAATTCTGATTAAAACTTTGCAAGTGTAAATACAGAATCAAAATGTCTTTGGGGTCCAAATGGTGAAGTCAAACCATCTCTATGATGATGACGATGATGATGGTGGTGACAACGATGACAGCAATGAAGGTGATGACTATTATGGAAAATGTTTTGGTGAAAAGAGGGTGGGGTGTGGTTAGGGAGATGTGCTGGGATGTTCTGGTGAGAAAGGAGAATGTCTGGACACATTGGATGCCGTGAGAAGATGTGTGTTGTCCCTCTGCCTCCTTAATCTTTAGCACTTATGCCATTTCATTCCTCTGAGATCAGGTAGAAGGGAAAGGGATGAGTACAGGGAGGTGGTTGGCAATGACAGCCAGCCCTTGATTCCCTTCATATGACCAGATGTCCCAGGACAGTGCCTAGCACAAGTTGTTCAGTTCCCACCTGGGCAGAGAGGTGATAGGTCAAAGTTTCATCAATTAAGAGCTCTTTGCCACACAATCTGAGTCTGTGTGTGTGTGTGTGTGTGTGTGTGTGTGTGTGAGAGAGAGAGAGAGAGAGAGAGAGAGATTAAGAGCTCTTTGCCACACAATCTGAGTCTGTGTGTGTGTGTGTGTGTGTGTGTGTGAGAGAGAGAGAGAGAGAGAGAGAGAGAGAGCAAGAAAGGTGATGCTCATGGCAAACAGGAATAGGGATTTACTGCAGAAAAGAGAGGTGGGACAGGTGATGGGAGAATTGTTGCAGTAGTGATGGAAAAGGGCACTTGGGCCATGTACCATGACCACATGGACATTCAGACAGACCCAGGGCACAACCTTGAATTTATACCTGCCTGCTTTCTTTCCTGGCTCCATGCATACCAGACTCACCAACACAGACACACATCACCATATATCCTGATCGTCTTCAAATCTCTAGCAATGCCCTTTTTCATGGTCTACACATAGCCCTGTACTCCTGCAACCTAATATTTATCCATTCCTCCAGCAAGCATTTGTTGATTGGAACTATTTTTAAAAATGCAACTTGTAGCCTTGTGGGGTGGCAAGCTGCCATCACTGAGAGGCTAGTGAATGATTAGGAGTGGCACGCATGGGGTGCTTGCATGCTGAGTTAAATGACTTCCATGCAGTCTGTGAATGTTTTCTACACCGCCCTAGGGGCTAAGACAGATTGGCTGATGGAAATTTACAGAGAAAAACAAAGGTGGAATAAAAACAAAAATACGTGATACTGGCCTTTCATCACACGTGTGTCAGGAGTAAAGCATCGTCTTTGTTGGGTGAGGGTGCAAGGACAATGAGGAGAAGTGAAGAGGCGACCTTAAATTTTGCCCCCCACTTCCCTGGAAGGTTGGGCTGAGAGAAGCCACTGTATTTGCCTTCGGTCATAACAAACAGCTTCTCTTTACTACCCTGAAGGATCCAGTGATCAGTTTTACGAGTCCAGAAACTTGATTTAATGACCTTTTACTCTGGGTGAGCATATTCTGTAAAGACATAATTCAGGCCAAGAAACCAAAATAAAGATCAGAATGCTGATTTACATTTACAGTGGAAGACACTCCTTTTCAATACGTAGAGTGCTTATGTCCCTGTATCAAGGGAGTTCATTCTAGGATCTTATACAGCTGAGAAACCAAACAAAAGATAAGAAGCTGGCATAGTGACCTGGGGCATGAGGAAGTGAATCAGATGTTTTTAAAAAGTGATTTTGGCTGAGCAATAGAAATCTACCTTTTTCCACTCTAGGAAGCAAATCTTTCCAGTGCCCTGAGTGCTCCCATGGCTACATGTCTCTCCCTCTGCTGTGATGCAGAGGAACAACCCTAAGTCACTCACACCAGGTCCCCTGTTTCAGGGTTCTGGGATGAGCAGGAGGTTTTGGCGGTTGGTGGTGCCATTTCCAGGCAACCTCCTGCCTGTGGAGTGTGTGCACTTCAATCACAAAGAGCTCCTGCTTCTATGCCTTTCGCCTAGTTCACCTCTGAACAATTTCTAGAATCTGATGTTGAGTTGTTTTTCATCTATGGAGCCTCGTACAACTTATAGAATCTTTACATGTGAAAAACTGTCAGAGACTGGTAGAGATGATTAATCCAACATTCCGTTTAACCAATGGTAAAAGAGCCCTCCAGTCTAGAGGCCCGGCCATGCTTTGTTTCAGTACCTCGGACAGCAGGAAAAGAGCAGGCTCTGTCTCTACTGACCCCCTCTCCCTAATCTATTATAGAACCAGGAAGTGTGAGAAAAATCATCCCTACAAGGGGTAAGCTGATTTGTGCGGCCAATTACCTTTTAAATGGCTGTTCTGCTCATTTCCCAAGCACTGGCAGTCCGGTTGGGAGAGATTTGGCACAGGAGCCTGGACACCCAAGCATGATCTGAGGAGCAGGTTTGGAGGGCAAAGGGCTATTTCCAGTTGTGAGAGAACTGTCTCCTAAGGACATGAATCAGTGCCGTCTTCCTTGAGCTCTTTTCCCCAACGTTCAAGGACTCAGTCAGCTTTTTCAGGAGATAAAGTTCTCACCATTCAGAGAAGATGCTATGTATTGGTTGCTTCTTTTATTCTGACTATTTTCCTTCCTATGTTCTGAGCTTAAACCAGAAAGATGTCTTATTTCTCAATGAAGAGACAGGAAGTATAAGAGGGGGAGGGGCAGTAAAAGGGGAAATGGAATTGAGTTGTGCTTTTCAGGGGGGAGGTTAAAATTAGAAGCATGTCTTCATATCTTAATAAATTACAAAATGTCATTTTTAACGGTCCCCTTCAATGCAATCCTCCTTTTCTTAACTGAATCTGTGATGAACTTTCAATAAAAATTTGATAACAAAAATCAAAATGCACAATAAAAATAAAGTGCTTGGTAGTTATAAATGATGGCTTATTGCTTTGAGTTTTAAAGTATTAATGAAGTAGAGTTTCTCTGAAAATTCTGAATTTTTATCAAGCTTCATCTCACAAAGTAGTTTTCTGAAAGCATTGATTTTGCTTGTATATTTTTTTTGCTCTGCTTTTTGCCAACAGGTTTATTATACTACTTGGTCAATAGAGCATGGGTGGCTCTGTCAATGGCCATTCTGTCCCCTCCACCCTGCTTTACTATAAGTAATCATGAAAACACATTTGTTGAGTTTCTGTACTATTCTAAACTCTTTACAGCTCATTATTTTTCCAACAGTCCTATTAGATAAGTACTACTTTTGCCCTCATTTTATTGATGAGGAAACTAAGTCACAAGGAGTTTAAATAGTTTGTCCAACAGTCTCTGAAAACCACATGCATCACTGCAGGTTTATGCTAAAAAGCTTTCATTGTCTTGTTTTTCAGAGTCACATCTATTGACCTTCACATGTCATTATACCTGTGTTCCAGGAATTGCCAGGGCAGAAAGAACATACACATTGCCATGAGAACAAGTTTTTCCAAAACATTATCACACTAATTTATTTGAGTGAAAAAATATTAACATTGTTCTGAAACAACAGTCCAGGAATGCTGCTCCATTGCTTCAAAGCACACAAATGGACACACACACACACACCCTGGAAGGTTGAGCTTCTGTCTGGAGAGTGCTCTGAAGGAGAAGATTGGTTATACAAGTGCCAGTAACTATGTAGTGCTTCTCTCATGGAACACAGGGGAAGCACAGAGATGAGAAGATTCACTGGCTCAGTGTCCCCATGCTGACCACCCCAAGTGCACTGTGTAAAAGGGTCCTCGACCATGGCTGTTGCAGCCAGAATGGCTTCTGAATGTGGAGGGTTCTTGCTGCCATATGCTTCCTTAGGGCCCCTGCCTCGAAGCTTCTCTCACCTGCTTGGGGGAGAGCACCAACTCTCCTCTGCACCTCCTGCCATGATGCTTTCATAGACAATTAAAATTCTATTCCATTCCCAGCAAGGGAGCTGGCAGCCCTGGGTCTCCCCAGCAGGATGGGCTGGCTGCAATTAATGTCTCTTCCAGAGCCTGATTAGCTAAGGAGAGGCCAGAATATCTATCCTACCCCGAAGGCCTCATTTAAATTAGGAAATGGGGTTTTCCCAACCTGTTACCTTTATTCAGAGTCATCAGTTAATGTAAATGTGTTAACCCTTTCTATTTCACTCTTGGTAGTGAAGCTGGATCAAAGAGGTCATCTCTCTACTGAACAGTCCCAGGAATAATGGGAGGAGAGATTCATGGATTCCTTTATTCTTCAAATTCCAGATCACTGGAATAAATTGAGGACCTACTTTATCAGGTACAGGCTAGGAGCTGGGGATTCAGCAGAAGCCATAGACACAATGTTTAATGTTATCAGGACAGAGCTTTGAATATAGAAAGTAATGCATAGGAATGATGTATTTAAGAAAAAAGAGAAAGTTCGATTGATGGAAAAGGAGAAGAGAAAGAAATTAATATTAAAGAATCGTACAAAAACTCTGAACTTTTATAGATGATGGAACTAAAGATTGGAGAGGTTAAGGAAATTGTCCAAGGTTACAAAGCTAATGTGGTAGATGAAAGAAAGTGAGCCGAGATGCTAGGTACCGTTCAAGCTTTATTAAAGAAAGAAATCTGCTGGGCTGTACTCGAAATGGAGGACAGTCCAGGGCTGCCCTGAAAATGGGGGACAGCACCAAGTGTGGGGGTGGTAGAGCTTATATAGTGCGCCAAGGGCTGGCTGATACCATCAAGGAAGGGCGTTATGCTAATGTGGATCAGGGTGGAGAACTGTGTCCTTGAGGAAGCAAAAGGGGTTTCTGTGTAAGTCAGGAGGCTTCTGGTAAAGGGAAGGGGGGAGGGGAAGGGAGGTGGGCGGCACCATTTTGTACTTGGGCTTGTCTAAAGTGGCACCAATTATGTTGCAGATCTATTAGTAGATGAACTGTACTAATGGCCCTAGATCTTCATGCTTCTCTGTAGCCACTTGCTTTTGGTAATGCCCACCTACACTGACTCTGGAGTGGCTACATGACTTGCTTAGACCAATGGAACGTTAGCACACTTGATGCAAGCAGAGACTTAAAAAGTGCTTATGCATTGGGACTTGCCCTCTCTTGCTGCTGGGAACTCTCCTACCATCACTCACAAAAGCCTATACAATCATATTGGATGATGATAGACACATGGAGCAGAGGTGGGTCATTCCACCCTAGACCAGCCAGCCTCTAGCTAACTCAAAGATGACCAACCAAACCAGATGAGCAGAACCACTCAGCCAACTAGTTGGCTTGTGAAAAATAACAAGTGGTTGTTATTTTTAGCCACTAATTTTGGGGTGCATATGCAGGAGCACAGTTAGCTGATACAACTAGTAAATAGCAGCAGTTGTCTGACCTTAAGGCCTGTGCATTGCTCATTCATCATAAAGAGGTTGGAAAAGGCTGAAATTACAGCAGGGAGAATACAGGTTAGATCAAGATATGTTTTTAACCACGATGTCTCCCAGTCACACAAGTGTCTTACTGGAGAACAGTCTGGGGTTCCCATATGTGGTATCTTAAAGGGAAATTATCTGGCTGACAGTTCTTAAATGTGGGACCCTTCAACCACTGGTGTCTCGGCCCTGTAGTTCGCCATCTCAGAGACCGAGCTATGCTGAGATTCTTGACAAGAATATTCCAAATCATCCCTATCACCCATCACTTGCCTGGAGAAGGAAGAGCACCCAGGCTAAGATCCTCTTTCATGGCCGAGACCCTCCCCCAGGATTGCCTCGGTTATACTGCTGCTCATTCCTGACTTACCTCTGCTCCAGTCTTGCAGCCATGTCCTGCTCCTTCCCTACAGTACAAAGAAATGTGGAAAGAAAACAGACTGTCTACACATTCTGAGCCTTCCTTCTCAGGGTCACAGCTGTGACACTACTGACAGTTGCCCGTGAGAATGTGGAGAAAGGACAAGACCTTGAATACAGGGCAATAACAGCAGATACTGACACACTCCGATGACGTGGATGGAAATTGCTGTCATCTTTCTAAAGGCCAAATTGGCAACATCTATCAACAGCCTTAAATATGCTATGCCCTTTGAATTAGCAATTCCATTCCAGGACTGTCTTCGAATAAAACTCATGGATGTGATCTGCAAAATCATGGATAACCATGAGAATTTTTTCATGACATAGTGTGAATGAAAAAACACAAGTTAAAAACAGGCTGCACATTATGTTCCTGATTTGGGGGGAATTATATGTGTGGGAGGGAGCTGTAGTTTTGAGGATAAATTTGATTTATAATAAATCTAAACATATTTTTAAGATATGGCCTTTCTCTCCCCCAGCCTCTGGGCATGTGCATCCTTGGCTGTCTTAGACATAGCAGGAAAACTTACCTGAAAAACCAGAAAGACTGGTATAGGTCTAGAAAAAAGTAGTTGAAATGATCTATGACATGAGAATTGAATCCAAAAATAGGATTTTCAGTGTGGATGGATGATGGCTAGATGGAAGATGAATAAAGTTTTAAATAATTGTGAAGTGTAAGAGGAGGGGACACAGACTTCATCACCAAGACCCAGGAAATGACTGAGAACAGCAAGTCTCGATCACTTGCTTAACCGTCCAGTCATCTGAAGAGGTTACAGGCAAACAAAAGGAAGTAATATTTTACATACCAGTAATATTTTATCCCAGGAAATGACTGAGAACAGCAAGTCTTGATCACTTGCTTAACCGTCCAATCATCTGAAGAGGTTACAGGCAAACAAAAGGAAGTAATATTTTACATACCAGTAATATTTTACATACCTTTGGAGCTCTGAGCTGGAAGGGGGTTGGGTCTAATTCAGTGAAATGCAGGTCAAAAAACTACAGCAAAAGCTGAGAATCTGGATGGGTTTGAGAAAGTGTGTCCTCGTGTGTGAACGTCTCTTGGGCAGGTGCCATCATCTTCAACACCAGGGCTGAGAGTCAGAGCTCAACCAGTGCTGCTGAATGGCTTCTAAAAGAAGACATGGGTTATGGCCTCAGACCTTTGGAGGGAGACAGCGCTGGTCCATAAGGACCCCCCAGTCCGTGAGTGTGGAGGCTTGCGGGGTTCTATGAACTTTGGCCTTGTTCCACCCATATTGGTTATCATATGTGGATCTGAAAGTGGAAACTGGGAGGCACTGGTGAGCAAGGGAGACTGGGCCCTTCCATCTGTTAGGGTTGGGGGCAGGCAGTCTGGCCAGAGGCCAGGGGATGGGGAAAAAGACCTTTGGAGGCCCCCTCCCCCCACTTCCCAGTTCTAGAAGTAAAGAGTATGAAATTCTTTGAAACAGAAAATAACATTGCCAAGATGACAGAAGCTACAGCCACTTGGAGCAGCTTAGCAGAAGCTTGGAATCAACAGACCGGAGTCTATTCACACACCGTAGTAATTCAAATTCTACTTAGCATGCTTATTCCTGGCAGGGAACTGGAGCCAAGATTTCAGGAATAGTGCACTTCCTTGAGAGGTGTGAAAAGAACCAGGCCGGGTTTTCAGCAGGCTGGCAGGGCTGTCACCGGTGACAAAGGCGAGGCATCCACCCCGCAGGGACATGGGACCCACCCTTTGGAGCTCTGAGCTGGAAGGGGGTATGGTCTGTATTTTTTCCTGCTTCAGTGATGCCCTGCCCAACCCCTCCCACCACCGCACTGCCCTGGGAAAGAGGAAGAATTGGAAAAGAACTTAAATGCTTACTGCAATCCCTTTAGAAAGCAGGCAGAGGAAGTTATAGAGAAATTTTTCCCTTTCCTGCTCCCCTTTCAGTGCTAAGCCCTTTATTATAGATTGCTTTGCCCTCTTGGCCCTGCTTTCACTTGCCCTCCTTTCCTGCAGGCATCACAAAGCCCCAGATAGCCTCTGAATGTAGACAGATGTTCACAGCACTACCTGAGAAGGGGGGAGGGAAAGAGGGGCGATGCAGGGAACACTCACAACTTCACACCTTTTCATTCTTCCCTGTGCCAGGGGGCAGACGCACATGCATGTGTGGGAAGAAGGCTCAGGGACGGAAGGGTCCTAAAGAGGAGTCACAGGAGCAGCAGGTGTCTAGAGAGCTGGGGTATCTGGTTTGTTCCCCTCCCCCTGGCATAGCAAGGCAGTTGGCAGCACGTGGAGCCTCCTGGCTCTCAGCACAGCTGTTACTGTACCCATTGTCCAGGCTCCCAGGCAACTCCCCTACCCACAGGTTTCAGACTGAAGATCTTCATTTACAAAGCAGTAAAGTGAGGTGCTTGGTAAGGCCACGAACTTCAGGGACCCCTCCTGCACAGTACGAGAGAGCAACCTCCCCTGCCTACCTCCTCTGGCTTGGAAGTGAAGAGATTCAGTAAGGACAGGAGGGCACATGAGAGACCACTACTAGTGATGTGGACTCGTGATGTGGCAGTGGACATTCCCTATTTGTCGGACAGGGTTCTAAGAACTTCTCATGATGTGTTCTCCCATTTAGCCCTCATGAGAACCTGGGCAGGCAGGAAATCTCTTTGGTTTTAGTTTATCTTTAAGGAAACTTGCCCGAAGTCATACAGGTAATAAATGGCTGAGCAAGGATTCCACCCAGCCAGCCTGGGCCATAGGCCCCACTAACTAACTCCTGGTGCATGGCAGGGGCTTGGGATAATACCTGGCTCCGAGCACATGTTCAAAGGTGTGAGCTAGCAAAAGAGCGGCAACAACAGCACAAGAATCAATAATAAAACAGAATAGATGCGGATGATATGACTGGCTACTGACTGAAGTAAGTGATTTACACAGCGTCCCTCACACAGCAAGGAGAAGAAGCAGGGTTTGAACCCAGCACTCAAAGCTTGCCTACAGGGCTTGGCACACATTAAGTGCTCAGTAAGTCTTAGCTACTGGTATTTATTTTTAGCTGTGTATACATGAGAGTCTTTTTTTTTTTTTTTCCTTTTTGTCTTTTTCCGTGTCCGGCAACGGATCGCAACCCTCAGTGTCGCCCCCGCACCGGACCGGGACCGGCAACGGGATCGCAACCCTCAGTGTTGCTCCCGCCCCTCGCTCAGCCAGTGAGCGGCCGGTCTGTATGTGGGATCCGAACCCTCGGTGGGAGCGCCGCCGCGCTTCCCAAGCGGTGCACTATAGCAGTGCACCACCGGGCTGGCCCTGTGTATACATGAGAGTCTTAAAGTGATGTAGGAGACAGAAGGTTTGCTGAAGAGTATTTGGTCCAGAGCTTCACAAAATGAGTCTTCGCCAACCTTGCCACAAGAGATGAAGAGCAGGTCTTTGTGGAATCAGAATCTCTGGAGTGGATCCTGTAATGTGAGCACTGAACAAGCCTCCGGCATGATGCTGCCACAGCACACTGGATTCTGAGAACTAAGTAATCAAGGCTGAGAGTGCTTCAACCCACAGTCACCATCCAGAGGGTGGCAGAGTTGGGACTGGCACCTGGTGCTGGCAAGCCAACTACCCATTCACGGACAAGGCTCAGGGCCATCACTGTCAGGCACCCAGGAAGGATCTTGCTTTTTTGCGTTGTAGGAGTCAGCCATACCTAGAGGTGATTCTAGGGGCCTAGGGCCGTGATCTGGAACATTTGTGAAGTGCAGCACGTCAGCACAGTTCATTTGCACTTGCAACATCTGCTGTCTCCCTTAAACACACTGAGTGAGATACTAATTACAGTCGCTGAAAATTAATTTTTGGAGAATTTCTCCACAAACTCTTCAAAGACCACCATGGGGGTTTTGCACAACTGAGCCTAGGCACCCCTCTTCCAGTGTGTAGGGAGCACCGAGGGCTGACCCTACGGGGCAGTTGAGTATTTTCCACCAGCTCGGCTTGAAATCTGGGAAAGAAAGAGGACACAGTGTCCTGGCAACCCTGAAATTTCAACCTGGTGGTCTGGAACCTTAGAAACAAGGCCAGCCCACTGTTTGCAAATAGCCCACTTCTGGCCATTTAAGATTTAATTTATGTTTTTCTATTGAGCCAGGCAGAGGACTGAGGGCAGATCAGCTTTTAATTTTAGCTCTTTGGTAACAATAGTGATGATAGTGATGAGTTATACAGAAAGACAAACGGACAGTATACTGCACATTTAGGTCATTAGAAATACAGATATGATTATGAATATACACATTAAATATGACCTCCTTTCCACCAGCCCTCATATAGCTTGGTTTGTTTATTATGCAGGTCATGTTCGACTTTATAGAATTGGATGTTATTTAAATTTAATTATTGTGAGGTTACGTTCTTTTTTCTAGTACCAGTTGAGTAAATTTAGAGGCAATTAAAGGAAATAGGTACATTTGTCTTATACCAGTTAAATTATAGGGAGAGGAGCGCTGCAGGAGTAAAATAATTATCATGAAAATGAAAAACACAGTTTGGAGGGTTTGGTTTGGGTCTGTTTGTTTTCCTCATCTCTTTTTGTATTCCTCTTTTTTTGAGAAGATGAGTTAAAAATCTGGAAAATCATTCATGAAGATGAGAGCAGATTATACATGTGTGGTTGGTGTGTGTGTGTGTGTGTGTGTGTGTGTGTGTGTGTGAAATTAAGCCACTGGTATGAGAGCAGAACTAGAAATAATTAGGCGGTTAATTAGATTTAGTGTAGATAACTACAGCACATTAAGGCCTTAAATTTTTTTCACCTCTTAGTAATAGAGTTTTTCTTTTTTGAATCAAATTATCTTGCAACAATTCCTTATTTCCTTCTGCCAGTGTCGACATACCTAGTCTCCTGAAGCCAAGATTTGGCCTTGGCACCTTGGAGAGGAGAAGGGAGAAGCACAGGGTGACCTGGCTGGGAAGGCGCCATGCTAAACACTGTAGATGGGCAGTAGAGCTAAAAGATCGGCTGCAAAGGACCCCAGCCAGAAAACAAAGAGCTGCCCAAACACTGTCTGACACAATGTGCAGAGAATTCGGAATGGCTTGTCTGTGAACAAAAATGGATTCTAGGGCCATGGGGGATCTTTGAAGGTCATCTTGCCAACCAGCCTGCCTCCCACAGATAAGGGGAAAACTTACTTTATCATCCTCTACGGCAGCAGGAGTCACACCTTCCCCCATTCATCTTTCCTCCACAATCTTTGCTGGCAAGAAGGTCCTCATGATAGGTCATTTTTCTCGATCCTGATACCAAATACATTGACCTCCCACAGGACTATAGAATCAAGAACGATTGCCTGGTGTCACAAAGGAAGAAAACACAGGAATCTTCTAGGTACTTCTAGCTTCTTTCTTCTATTCACTGGCCCCATTTGTACTCCCCCTTTGTCTCTCCCTCCGCACCCCTCCTCCACCAACCCAGATCACAGCTACACAGTCAGTCAATATCATGGACCAGTTTGGTTGTGCACATAAAGTTGGGAAAGTGTGTTATTGAGGAGCCTTACTATTAGCTGGTCCCCAAATATGAGGAGTCCAAGGAGTGATACGAAACAGTTCTTTACGTTTCATATCAAGTCAAGTATACATCGTCATAGAAACTACCTATGATGGACGTTGGGGAGTCCCTGCTTTCTTTGGTGTCCCCCCATATTCTCCACCACAACCCAATGAACTTTCTCTATTCCTATTACTCCCCACCCCAATACACAGAGGTTCTGGATCCAACCTGAAGGGGAAATTCTGATTTTAAGGCTTTAGATCCTTTGAATCTTCACAGTGGAACATCTATAAGGCAACTGAACCTTTCCTCACTAATATGGACTCCATCTCAGAGCCAACTTTAAAAGATTTCTATGCTTACAAAAATCTCCATCTCTTAACTTTGTCTTAACAAATGTCTCTTCCCCACCAAGGGTGAGGGTAGGAGGAAGGAGTGAGGGGAAAGTAAAACCCCATCCTACCCCCACCCCACATTAATTAATACCCAACAAACACTGCCAGGAGCTGGGTTCACAGGAGAGGGGCACGGGAAATGCACAAAAGTGTTTCTGCCTCTGTGTTTGTATCTCAGTGGGGGAACCAGGAAAGCCATCTCATATCAGAAATGGAAAGGTAAGGATCTGAGGGACAGGCTGCTGTGGGTGGCAGAAGAGACAAAGGCAAGCGACACTGGAGGGGCAGAGGTGATATGATCAAATTCGAGGCAGCCTGATGGACAGAAATGGTTAGAGACATACTCTTCCATTTTCTTGAGCAAGTAACCTCTCTGAGTGGGTGTCTTCATTTGTAAAATGGGGGAAATTGGCCTCATTTGGTTATTGAGGTAATAGTTGACATAATGTCTGTGAAAGTGTTTTGTAGGCCTGTGAAATGTTTATAACATCATGATTATTAATAAGAAAAGAATGTTATAGAAAGGATTAAGAAAGGAAAGAAGAAAATTGATCAATCTTTGAAGCAGGTGAGAAGGCGGGCTTAGAGACCAGCAGATCTGCTACAACACCTAGTAGAGCCCCTTGCATATTAGCCAGCATTTACTGTGTACTGACTGTGTGCCAGGCATGGGGCTGAAGAGTCTCTTACTACCATCCTGCCCCAGCTTCACAGATGAGCCATTTTATTTTAATAGAAAGTACCCTCAGTGCTGCCTGCAATCATGCTTTATTTCTCTAGTCTAATCTCTCTGAAACTCTGCTGGATGACTATTTTATACCAATTCTTGCACCTCTAATACCTCCGTCCCCCATCTTCACTCTTCATATTTCACCTAGAAAATAGAAGCAATCAGAAGAAAAACTTGCCAAATCCATGGTTAATTCTCAGTTTTCATCCAATGTGACCCATCAGCAACATTTGAGAAGGCCGATTACTCCCTCTTTTCTTGAAACACTTTGTCTTCTTCCTTGGCTTTTGGGGCATGACGTTCTCTTTTTCCATCTCACTGACCTTCCCTTTGTAGCCCCTCCTGCTGGCTGCTCCTCATCTCCTGACCTCTAAACATTGGCATCTTCTAGTTATCAGCCTCAGTACCCTTTTCTTTTCCTACCTGCACTCACTCATCCAGACTCGTGGCTTTCAACACCACCAGTCACCCATGACTCACATCCATACCTTGAGCCTGGACCTCTCCCCTAAACTCCAGACTTACAGGTATTACAGTACTTGTTTATGTCTCCACTTGGATATCCAATAGCATCTCAAA